GGTTGTGAAGATAAGTAAGGCAAAATAAGTGAAGCACCTAGCACAGTGTCTAGAAAATATTAGGTATTCAATAAATATGGTTCCCTTTCTTGTCTCATCTTTTTTTGGGGGGGGCCACATTCAACATTCTTGATATTCCATAGCAGAGTCAATTACTGACTGCTAGCGAAGATCTAGTAATGACATTTGTCCAGGGTCACTGTCCATAGCACCAACCATAGAAAAGTTAGTCCTTACCCCACTGTAATTTATTCCACTCCTCTGGGTTGCACTAATTGATACCACACTGTCATTATCTTGTCTTTCCCACTAAATTAGAACTTCCTGGAGGCAAAGAATGCTGCTTTCTTCATTTTTAATCCCCACCTTTGCATGTTCTGGAACTGTACCATATGTATTCAGTTTGAATTAATTCGTTCTCTTTACTCTGAGAAGGAATGGATTCATGCCATCCAGCTTGCGGAGGCCAACATGGTACAGCTTTACATCTAGAGCTGAGCTTACCTCCCAACTCTGTCACTTACTGGTTGTGTCATCCTGGGTTACTTACTGTCTGTCCTTTCTGAGGGTCACTTTCCTTTTTTGTAAAATAGGAAAACTGACCTACAGAACTGTTTTAAGGCTTATGACTCAGCTGTAAGTACTTAACTGCATTTCCATTTATAGTTGATTTTAATAAGGGTAGAGACAATTTTACTTATGGATTGTTTTTTTCCAAACCTTAGGGGTTTGCTTGTTTAAGTGTTTAAAAACATGACTTATTCTAGAACAAATGGTGGCCTTTGGTGGCTATCTTTAGAGAGGGAAGAAGTGATACTTAAAAATGATTCACGTTGACATGTCTTGCTAAGAGAGAAGATTTTAGGAATAATTTCAGAAAGACCAAAGGTGCTGAGGAATATGGGCAGAGAAAGAAACCCTGAAGTATTTTGGATCATCGATGGACTCCTTTTATGATGTAGCGGGTGAACAGATCCTAGGAGCTCAATAACTTCACTGTAGCCTGACTCCTTTGCATGCTGAAAAAAAGCTGAGATCTTTCAGGATTGGTCAGGAAGGAGGCATCTCCAGTCTCCTTTGATTCCATTGGGGATCAGAGGAGTCCTTGATCTGTGTGGGTTGGTCCTAGTTAAAGGACTCTCTGTGGGTTCACTCTACAGGTGGTGCATTGGGTGATTTGAATGTAGGTAAATGAACACAGAGCTACTTATTTCTGTAAGAGTGTTAATAGGGCTCAAGAGCTCAAATATTTTGTATTTTACCATAATTGATCTGTGATCTCCATTTCCACCTTCTCCAGGTTAAACTTTTAGAATTCTAGTAGTATCACTGCTTCTGTTACATAGAGTGCAGTGATTAAGTTTTCTTGAATTCAAGTCCTAACTTCCCAATTTATGTGATCCTCTCAGTGCTGAGTCTCTCCTGCACCTCCCCGTCCCGCACCCCCACTCCCACCCCCCACCCCGGGCCCAGACCTGGGATGATTAGAACAGACCCAGTGGTTATAAAGATTCAGAAAGTTCATTCTTGTAAAGCCCCCAAGAGCCTGTCACACTTCTAAATGCTCAGGGGATATTAGCTATTGTTTCTGTCCCATGAGCCACTACTACCATTTTTAATGGAAGAGCTTATATTCTTAGTATTTAATCATCCCCATTTCCTATTGTTGATTATTTGTAAAACCAGAGCCACCTGTGCTGTTGTTAACTCACTAGCAGTGAAGATGGTGTTTTAGAAAATTTTTTAAACAACTGTTTTTTGTGTTTTGCATAAGTAGATTGGCAAGCAGCCACTCTCCATTGTCCCCTTCACCTGTGTATTTCCTGTTGCTGTATATTATTGTTCTTGTGTGTTTAACGTTATACTGAAAGACTGTGAATAGGGTCAGAGCTAGAATGTAAGCTCCATGAGGATAGGGACCAAATCAGTCTGGTCCACCACTGTATCTCCTGTTTCAAGTATGGGGCCTTGCACACGGTAGACATTTGACAATACTTATTAAATGACCATACAAAAGAACGAAGGGTAAGAGCTTTGTCAAAATCATTCCCCTATGGGGATAGGGCATGGGTTTCCACAAAGAGAGAAAAAGGTGATTCACTGTGCCCCTTAAAACTGATTTGACTTTGGGCTGGCTGAGTGGCACATTGGTTAAGAGCTGGCTTGGGATGCCAAAGGGCCCCAGTTTGGATCCCACATATGAGGTCCAGTGACACTGCCCTCTACAGCTAAGATGCTGAACAACAGCTCAACCTGGAGCTGGGCTGTCGTGAGTCTGCTGGCGACAGCGTAGGCTGCATTGCAGCCCCTGCTGCAGTGGGTTGCCATGGGCTACCATGTGTAGCCAGCAGCCAGCGTGAGCGGCCAGCAGCTACTGTGAGCAGCCATCCAGAAGCTGGCGACTGATCTGCCTTGCCTGGGAAGAGCGCAATGATGGTGTCAACTTGGGCCAGTGAAGCAACATCCTCCATAATTAGACTGAAGAACAAAAGGACAGCAACTTGTCTGTCCCCCTTCCCCCCAATTCCCCAGCACTGTTCTCATCCCCCCAATTCCCCAATAAAAATCTTTAAAAAACAAAAACTGATTTGACTTAGTCAACTGCAGAAGGATGATGTTTGTCTCTCAGAACAAGAATGCGTTCTCAGTGACTGGAGCCCTGGGAGATGACAGTCAGCACACTCTTTTATACTTGTTGAGGAGAACACTAGATGGAAAATAAGAAAACACCCATGGTGTGAACATAGGTGGGGCTGAGAGGGAAGTGACCAGGCAAGCAGCCAGGACATTTTTACCAGCTCTTTGGGACCACAACTCAAGTAGTTATTGAAGGGTCTGAGACTTCTGTTTTGGAGATTTGTCTGTGTTAAAGCTGTTTGTATTTCTCTGATATTATTTCCTTGTTGCTTATGTTTAGTTTAACTCAGCTAGTACTAAGGAGAAACAAGCAAGAGCCTTTGGGCTGAACTTTGAAAGGGGTCTGAGTGGGAGGGGGCCATGAGAGAATGTAAAGGGGACCACCCCCTCCCCACATGAAGATGCTCTTTCCAGAGCTGGTCTCGGCCAAATCCTCACATGGTGTTGTCTTTCAACAATGAAGCCTCTTCCCTTATGATTCTAACTAGAAAATACCCACAGGAAGAAGTTTGCTTCAGGCTATGAGACAGTACTTAGAATTATCCTCCCTCTGTCATAACCAGAAAGTTGTTGAAAATACTTGAAATATATAATTTCAGACATTGAACAATAGGTAGCACAAGACTGTGATCTTTGAGAAAAGGTAACAAGTGAGGTGAGCCTACCCTGGCCAGGCCTTCTGTCCAACCGCGGCACAGTGAGGGGAGCCCAGAGTCTGGCCATCTCGCCAAGGTGAGGAGACAAAGATTGGAGAGAGGGGAGGACATGGTGGCTGGAGTTTGCAGGACACAGTGTCTAAAAGTACGGAGCTAAACATACAAAGAAAGTTCCAGAAAGACCAGAGGGTTCCCTTGAGTTGTCAGCTGAATATCAAGTTGAATGAACCCCACGAGTCCAGCTAGAACAACTTTTGAGAAAGCACCATTACCAGAGTTAACACAGAGCTAGGACTTGTTCAACTTCCTGCCAGTCAGAGTGGGAGAGTTACCCAGAGGACCGAAAGTCCTTCTTGAGAGCTCCTTAGCCTATTCTAGTTGGAGGCTGGGCTGGTGGAGAGGGATAAACGATCAAGTTCCAGTCAGTCAGAAACCCAGCTCAGCTTCAAAAAGCTAAAGGTGGAGGGGAAGGAGAGGAAAAGGGGGGAAAGGAGTGATATTCCAAGAAGAGAAAGACAAGTGATTCACACATTTAACATTTTATAGAAATGTTGGGATAACTATTATACTGTAAAACAATGTGGCTGAAGAAACTAAGGTGTGCCTATGGTGGAGGAAGTCTGAACTCCTTTCCATGTATCAAATCCACTGCAGTGGGTGGTTTAGCTACCGCACACGTAGGCCCCAAAGCTTGTTCATCACCGGCATTTCAGATGAGGGCACTAGTGGTGCCTTGTAGACCTTAGAGAGGGCAGGAAAATTGAGGCTGCTGTCCTTCTCCATGGAGGCTGTTTACAGAATGGTAACCACAATGATTTGGGGGTGGGAATTCCCAGGGTTTTTAGAGGAGAAAAACAGAACGTCTCCTCTGTGGATTCCCAGAAGTCAACTTCTTCCTGCTGACTTCTTTTAGCAAATTATCATGGCCCATAGGAAGCTTGGGGCCATTAGGTATTCCCAGGTGCCAGCTATGAGCATGTGCCCAGGACTGTGCAGTGGCCTGTGCCATTCCCATGCACTACGTAGGTCCTGAGCCTGGGAGGTCCTGCCTCTCATCAGCGGTTCTCAACCTGTGGGTCGCGACCCCTTTGGGGGTCGAATGACCCTTTCACAGGGGTTGCCTAAGACCATCGGAAAACAAAAAGATATTTACATTACGATTCATAACAGTAGCAAAATTACAGTTATAGAGTAGCAACGAAAATAATTTTTATGGTTGGGGGTCACCACAACATGAGGAACTATATTAAGTGGTCGCGGCATTAGGAAGGTTGAGAACTGCTGCATTAGGTGATGAGGCCCAGTGACTTCCCAGACCTTGTACCTACCTCAGGACGATCTTCTTCCGTGTGAATAGAACTCCAGAAGGAAGCACATCCCTCAGTAAAAACTCTGGAGATGTGAGGAAATAGACAGCTGTTGTTTCTCTTATTGACTACAAAAGCAATTCTCTTATAAGCCTGGTTTTGATCATTGTTCTATTACTTGGGACTCTCCTGAGATGACCAAACAAGGCTTGAGACTTCATGTTCCAGCATGTTCTCGGGCTACGCTCTTTATTGTCCTCCAGAAGGATTAAGGCAGCTTCTCATAAGCTGTTCATTCTACCACAATCCCCACTGAGGAGTCATCCCACCACCCAATTCTCACCAGTCCTCCCCATGTTCAATGGATTTCATGAGAAAGAATGTGATGCAAAACTTGTCCGTGACATGTTTTTAGCTTTATTGAAATTCTTCCTTACAAAAGGTCTCATGTATTTTAGGCCAGGCCTAATTTCTTTTAGTCCCTGAAATACAGGTCCATGGTGATTTCCATGTCCTCTTAAGTAGGTATGTAAACTAGTAAGACTTTTATTTTAAGTTTCAAACACTTATCACCATCATTTTTATTTGATGTAAAACAAGACAACATTTTTCCAAATGAAAGGACCACGTAAGACTGTTTGTTACACAGGTCTTCATCGGTGGCATAACTGGGTTCTTTGCCAGAACTATTCTGGGAATCTATTTCATTTAATGTGACATCTTTCCACCTCTGGTAATTTTTTTTAATACAAACTTTGCAATGTGCTGAGCTATGCAGTAAACAGTGCCATGTTTATATATGCATATATATATATATAGGCTCTGGGGAAAAAATGCATGAGTACATGCGTGTTATGTAAACATAGCAATTGGTCAGAAGGAGAGTCTCTGATCATTAGGACATTAATGAATAACAAGCATACTGTAAGCAAAGAACAACCAATAGCACAGATGGGTTTAGTTGTCAGCCAAGAACTTTGCTGGTCCCACACCTGGAGGGTCCCAGGTGCCGGTGTCCCCAGGCAAGCTGATGCTCACCCAACATGACAGGTGACTGTGTATCCGAGGCCTGTGAGTTTGTGACTCCCGCAGGCGAGGTGGGTCTGTGCTCCTATGCTACCATGTAGACCCCCTAGTCCTAGAACACATAGGTGGCCCAGGTTGACCTTTTCCTTGTGTCAAAAGCAGAATAAGATCCTCCTGCCACTAGGAGAGGGGTATAGGTTGACGATTCGCAGAGGCCCAGGGCCCTTTCTTTCCCTGGAGATGATAAGGAATCCCATTTCTTTCTATGCCTCTAGGACGCATCAGGTTATGTGTTCTCCTGACCACAGGATTACACCCAAAGAGGCCTGGAAGGTTCAATATCATCACCTCCAAACAGCTCTAAGACACGGGTGACTTGGCTTTAACCCTGACTGACAGATGACTGAGTGTTGGTCTCAGTTTAACCCCAACAGCCCCCATGTCACCCTCCAAACCACCTTTCTTCCTATGGGGATGGTTGGCATTGAAGCCAGTCATGTCTGATCACACAGTCACACCCCATAGGTTTTGGCATATGTAACCTTCTAGTAACACAGGTCTTGCACCAGAGTTTTTGCTTAAGCCTAGCAAAGGCACTCTAAGGTTCAGGTGGAAACAATGGTCTCCGTCATTCTCGATTTTTTGACTTATAGGCCAGGTGAATGGGTCAGTTGAGTGCTACCTGGAGGTAAGGTCTTACTTACCTAAGCTAACATGCCTTGGAGAAATGCAGCAAAGTGGATAAATGAATTTAGCACTCAAGATACTATGTAGCACACATGGCAGTCACTCAATAAATGTTAGTTTCACTCCACTTCTCCAAATCCAGATGAATTCCTGCAGGTGACTTGCATTTCCCTCTCCTTCCTACAGCTGGCCTCTTTGTGTCACTTCCCCAAACTAACCAAAGTGTGCAGAGGCAGAGTAAAGAGAGAAAAATGAATCTTCAGTATTGTCTCTTGCCGGAAAGGAAGAGATGTCAAAACTCTTGGCCTAACTGAGGTTTGGGAATTATCTAAAAAGTGACTGATCTGTTATAACTCCCTCCCATCTTCATGGCAGCATTTGTCTTCAACACACTCTCAGAATTCACCTGTAACTGACAGACCAATGGGCACATGGATATTAAGGCCTGATGCATGGTGTTTAGGAGGCCAGGCAACATAGCAATCCAGTTGACCAGGGCTCCACATACAGGAACTCTGGTGGAAGGGAGAGACAGGCAGTAGATCCCAGAGTTATTTGGAGCAGAGGTCCAAGAGGAGAATGACAACAGGCCACCATGGTCCTGGGATAAGGATAGTGGGGTAAGGGGCTGCTGGACTGGGCAGGGAAGAGGTGTCATTAGGAGAGCCCCAAGCCATGGCCCCACCCCAGGAATGCATGAAGGAGGCTGGGCAGTAGGGTCTGGACCTTGGCTGTGCCACTTTCAGTGTCTGCTGCATGTCACTCCGGCATCCTCAGCATGTCCGCAGTTTGTCACCCCCCATTTGGAGAAGGTACAGCTGAAGATGCTATCCTCTGTGCCCTTGCAGGCGACATCATCCATCCAAATCCTCCCTGTGCCTGTGGAGACAAGTAAACATGGTTTCTTAGTGGATGTGCAGGACAGCAGGACAGAGGAGAAATGGGGGCACTGCTGTGTCTGTCCTTGACCAGGCCATCCCAGGCTGTGCCGGGAGCTCTCAAATCTAGTGGCTTCCATCTGCCCTCTCCACCCCACCAAGACCAAATACATATTTTCTAGGTTTAGTTTTATGAGAGCAGAATAACAATAATTGATAGTCATGATGGTAGTATTTGCTGAGGATCTCTCTTATGTGTTGGGCATCTTACACATGATCTTCCTCCATTCTTACAATGGTGCTGGTGCTATGAGATAGGTATTAATAAATCCATTTTATAGATGGGAAAATTGAGGCTCAGGAAGTAATTGGTGCAAGGTTGCTCAGCTTGTTAGTGGAGTCTGAACTCAAGCCCAAGTCTTACCACCTCAAGACCCATACTTTATACGAGGCACATATTGTATAACTTTTGGGATATGATAGATTGCAGTCTTTGTTGATGAATACTCAGGCAGGGCCGAATCAGAGGGATGGTGTCAGATGCTGGATTGAATAGATCCAGTGCCCCATAACCAAGCAAATCAGTGCCAACATTATCTCCAATCTTTTGATGTTTAAACTAGGTGTTTCCCATTCTATGTGCCCAGAACAAGGTGCTGGAATGGCAGGGGACCCCAGAATCTAACATTATAACCAGACATATATCTAATGATAAATGGAAGAAGCTTTCCTAACCATAATAATTAGGTCAGATCCCAAAATACAAGGTCCTTAAGACAATCCATTTGAGTTTTGCCTGCAGATAGCCCTATTCATCCAGCTTGTAAGGGGACCAACCTGCTGGTCTGAAGGTATCCATGCAGGGAAGCCTTTGATGGCTTTCCCAGAATTGTATCTGAGCCTTGAGAGACATAAATTTGCCAATGAGGTCCCTCAATAAATGTCAGGGGATTAGGGCAGCTGAGTGAGGCTCCAAGCGGGAATGGAGAGAGCTTGTCTGAGGTCAGAGCGGTCAGTGGAGAGGGGAGTGGGCTGTACCGGAAGTCACCCGGAGTCCTCACTGATGTACTGGCAGGACCATCACCCATGGCTCTTGTGCGTTCTCTGGGCGGATGGCCAAACCAGGCCCCAGATGGTGGGAGCCCATTGGCGAGTGACTGAGCTTCAGGGCTCCCATGGAAGCAGTGCTTAGAGCTTCGCTACTCAAAGTGTGGTCCTGGCCCAGCAGCCTTGGCATCACCCAGAGCTTGTTAGAAATGCAGAACCTTGGGTCCTGCCTAGGAGCTACTGAACCAGAATCTACCTTTCAACCAAGTGGTTATGCATTGATGTAAGAAGCACTGGTGCCCCAGAAAAAGGAGGGCTCTGTGATAAGTAGGACAGAGCTGGATTCAAGTCCCAGCCACATCTGGGGGGAGCATTTCCTTTTTAAAACTGGGAGGTGATTCCTGGGATGTGAGGCTTTTCATGCTGAAACTGGGTAAGTTCTAGGTAAACTGGGATGTCTTGTCACTCCAGCATCCTCACTTGTGAGGTCTATGAGCCGGTACCAAAAAGCATGCGGTTAAAAGTCAGAGGTTTCAACATTACTGGCTGTGACAACCTGAGCAAGTTAAATAAGGTAATAAATAGTCCCTATGTTTTGATGCTAGACCTGCCTCCTTCCCGTCCCATCTCTCAGTAGCCAGACAATCTCTCCTTGCACAGTAATGGTCATCACTGACTGTTAAACCTTAAAACTCTCCCTCACTCTCAAGCTGCATGAAAGAAACCCTGTACAAAGAGCATCAAGGGATCCTCTAAACCCTTGTTGCCCAATGTATCCCCCACATGAACTAATATTTTTGGTATGCAGAGATTTACAGCATCCGTTGTCATGGGACTGCTGAGCAGTGAATGTGGGGACAAAGGTGGGAGGAGAGGCCTCCTTTTCCTTCCACTGTCTGCTCGGACGTTGTTTCTTCACCAGAACCTCTTCCCTGGCTGGATACCCTATGCCTCTTACACAATAAACCCTTTGAGGCCAAGTAATAATTTGCAGATTAAATGTCTCCTGGAAAACATATCAGTTTACAAATTACCCAGGAAAAGCTGTAGATGCGTCACGCCCAAAACAAATAAAGGGGACTGACGAATACAGAACAGACCCAAGGTTACCAGCCCCAATGCAGAGAGAGGATCACGAAGCTCCAGGCTCCAGTGGGTGTTTAGCCAGGGAGTCCTGGCTCATGTTCTGTCACGGAAGAGCTAATAAAACGAGAGGAGGGTTGTGAAGTCAACAGCACTGAGTATCTGCAGGTACTACGCAGCCTGGAGGTGAAGGGCCAATGAGCCCGCAAACCACCTGTGTTCCTCACCGTGTCAGAGAGGCGAGAACTCCCCCGACTCTAGGTACCAGTCATCACTTTAGCTTCCACTGACCTGATTGCTCGGAGTGTGGCCCAAGGGCCAGGAGCAGCAGCATGCTCTGGGAGCTTGTTAGAAATGCAGTCTTGGGCTCACCCAGACCTGCATTTTAACAAGATCGCTATGATTCAAGTACATATTCAAGTCTGGGGAGGCCTGCCTTAGATTACGTCTGCACTTCCACACATGTTTTCTCTTTGAGCTCCCTAACAAAGCTTTATCAGGTAAGCAGGGTAGGTGCTCTGCTCCCCACTTCACAGATCAGAAAAATGGAGCAATGGGCTGATGTTTTCTCTTGGGGAGGCAAACTTGGGATGAAAGTCCAGGTCTTCTGACACTTAGAGCACTAGGGGCTGTTTGAAGGTGATACTGTTGGGATGAGTCAGTGGAGGTTTTGTTTTATCCTTATCATTTATTCACTCAGCACATATGTGAGGGCCTACTCCTTGCTCGGCACTTTTCTGGGTGTTTGGACTATATTACTGAACAGAAAAAAAAGAAAACAACGACAAAAATCTGCTTCATGGAGCTAACATTGGAGCTTCTGTATGTTTATGTGGAGTAATATAAAAAGAAGGAATAAGTTACACTGAATCCTACAGGCTTCCATTGGAGCCTCACACAGAGATCAGCAGGACAGCAATCAAACAGACATTTAAGAGATAGGAAAATTGAGGCTGCAGAAAGATTAAGTGACTTATCCCGTAACTATTAAGGGGAAGAGACTATGACCCAGGCCTCTGACGTCCAGCCAATCCAGTCCTTGTTTCCTACCGAACCAAAGTACACAGCACGTAGCACACACACTAAGCCAAGGGTGGCAAACCTTGGGCCAATGTGGCCCACTGTTTGCTTTTGTAAATAAAGTTTTATTGGAACACAGCCTCACCATTTGATTACATTTTGTCTATGGTTGCTTTCATGCTACAACTGCAGAGTTGAGTAGTTGTGAGACAGGCCATCAGGCCCACAAAGCCTAAAATATTTACTACCTGGCCCTTTAATGTTTACTGAGTCTTGCACTAAGCAATCTCCCAGTATTTGAATTTTATCTTAGAAAAAAGGGCAAAAAAATGGTAATAATGAGATGATTAGAAGAAAACACACTCACCTACTCTCATTGGCAAGTCTGTCTGTGTTAGTACCCATCCTCACCTCCGTTCCGACTGTCTGGCTCACGGATTTTCTCTGCAAGCACAAGCCTAATTCCCAGTGTGCTTGACTCTGCTCTCATCCATCTCCTTCTAGACCTCATCCTAGCCATCACCCCTCTAGCTTCTCTATCCACATTTGCTCCCTCTCCAACAGCTCTTGCACCAATATAAAATTAAAAAAAAAAATCTTCAAGTCTCTCTCATTTGGGTCTTGCCTTGCTTTATCCCAGGGAAACTGATAATTTGATTATGGAGAACTGTCTAGGAAAAATTTTATGGTGCCAGACCACTGAGAGAACAGCCAGGCAGTTTCTTGTATTACACTGGGGAGGATTCAGGTTAGGCAGGCACAGAAGTTTCTTTCTCCCTCCCTTCCTTTCTTCCCTCTCATGTTTATCCAGTACCAATTAATGTCCCAGGCACAGTTCTGGGATTTGGAGCTATAGAGGTAAAGCCCTCAGGATGCTCACACATATATCAGAGATCAGAGAGTGAGAGGTGCTAAGAGAGAGTTATGCACAAAAAAACCCCTGGGAGGGCAGCATAGAATGGGGTGGATGTGGAGAGGGGAATGGAAGGAGCTAGTAAAGCTCCCTTCAGGAGGTGATAACTGAGCTGGCTTTAAAAGCTGAATAGGAATTAGCTAGATGAAACAGGAGGGAAAGGCGTTTCAGATGGAAGGCACAGCGCAAGAGAAGATAAGAGAAGATCAGAGAACACATGTGGATGTATATGGCTGAAAGGCGAGACAGGGGTGGAAGGCAGATAAGGAAGGGCCTTGGGGACTAAGCTAAGGAAACCAAACCTGATCCTTGCAATCATCTTTCAAAAGTAGAAGGACTGAAGCTCGGAGAGTTTAAGAAACCTGCTCCAGGTCACCAGCTAGTAAGTGGCAAATGTGGGATTCTAACTTGGGATTGATTCCTGAGCCTGCGCTCCCAACCAGTGCTCTACCCTGCCTGAGCTCCTAAGGCAAGAGCAGTGAGAACAAAAAGGAGGGGACACTGGTGGAATCTGTAGAACCCAGGGAGATAAGGGGATCAGATAAGGGGAAGGGGGGTGGGTAAGAGTGGGAGGAGGGTCGGGCCTTCAGTCCTGGCTGGCAGGGCGGGAAGCACATCAAGAAAGAAGCAGAGCCATTGGCGGGAGGCGCTGAGGACTTGGGGGCCCCTGTGAGGTGGAGGAGTGGGCATACTGGGATAGTCAGGGCACCAGTGGGGTAGGCGGCTGTGGCCAGAGGGATACGTGGATCTGATGCACAGCCCTGCCCGTTGCCAGAAGAGGTGAGCATCCTGTTCCCTCTGTCCACGCAGCTGCTATGACATGATGCCCTATAAACATGTCTGCCTCCACCTTCAAACCGAACATGCTGAGATCAGAGACTAGGTTTACTCAGCTCTGTGCCCCAGCCCTGAGCCCAACACCTGGCCCATGGAAGCTGACTAGAAATTGCTGTGGAAAGAAGGGAGTGTAGCCTGGACTGGGAGAAAAAGTGCCAGCTGAGGCTCAGCTAGGTTGGTCCTTTCCCCTCCCTGGGCCCCCATTTCCCTCTGTGTACTCATTCATAACACCTGGACTGCCTACCTTTCAAGATCTGGACTACCGCATGACATAAGTTACTGGATTACAACGGGGAAACAGAGCAAATTTGATGTGCAAATAGAAGCAAGTCTGGCTTCCCATTGACTGGTTTAAAGAATCAAGTGGTCTCAAGAGTGTGAGCTCTGAGCAACAGCGGTTCGATTCCCAGCCCGAGCTGAGCAGCCGCTGAGCTGCCAACAGGTGGCAGGATGGCTCAGCTAAAAAAAAAAAAAAAAAAAAAAAAGAATCAAGTGGCAATTTTAGAACATCTCCACATATCATATGATACAAAACTCAAGGGGGGGAAATAAAACATATATATTAAAAAAAAATCTAGGGGGAATGAAAGAGGCCATGAAGTCTCAGTTGTAGGCTAATGCTGCCCATGGCATGCATGGTGCCTATTTTGGCTTCTCTAAGAGTTTATAATTTTCTTTTCCAAAAGGCTTTACTTCCACTTATTAGGAAGAAGTCATTAGACTCAAACATTGAAAAGCGAGGACTGTTCCTACTGTTTCTGTTTCTTACGCAAACAAAAATGGCAGTTTTTCTTGAAGAAGGAAACAGGCTGAAATCCAGCCCAAAGCTTTAAGTGGGAGGCAAGTGCTCTGTCCCAGTGGGCTGCCCTCCATGGAACCGGACCCTCTGAACTCCCTGTGCCCTTTGGCCTTTAAGTAAAGAGGCCAGTACATATGGGGTCAAGTGGCCACTCTCCACCAGCTGTCACAACAGATTTCAGTCAGTGTGATCTGACTTGAGCTTTGGAGATGAGGCCCGTCCTAGTATTCCTTAGTCTGCCCGGACTGCTGTAACAAAGTACCATACACTGGGTGGCTTATAAACAACAGAAATGTATTTCTCACAGTTTTAGAGGCTGGAAGTCCAAGACCAGGGTGCCAGCGTGGTGGGGTTCTGGTGAGGGCCCTCTTCTGGATTTAGACTACTGACTCCCCCATGTATCTTCACAGAAGGAGGATAAGGTGCTCGTAGGGGTCCCTTTTATAAGGGCAGTAATCTCATCATGAAGGTTCTACTCCCTCATGACCTAAGCACCTCCCAAAGGCACCACCTCCTAATACCATTGCATGGGGGTAGGACGTAACATAGGAATTTGGGGGAGATACAAATATTCAGTCCATAACCGTGACTGAGGTCTAAGGGACAAGGTTCTGAACAAGAATTGCAGCATCCTGAAGTGGGGGTGAGGAGACCGGCCGCTGTGAGAAGTGGAGGGTTCCATGGCCAGTTTGTATGTGAACAGGCTCCATTTCCCTACCTGGAAAGGACACACTGGCCCCTCCTCTCATGCCATGCCACAAGTCCCTTTAGCCATTAGCTCGGTGGGTTGGGCAAAGAAAAAGTGTTCTAACAATCAGGACAGTCTGAAGACAGACAAGCTTACCTGGGGGACAGTGAGTTTCACGTTGCAGGAAGTATCTAGGAAGAGGCCAGTGACACATGGCAGGATTGCTGCCAAGGGGACTTGAGCTTTGGAGAGGAGACCAGTCCTAGGATTCCTGGGCCCTCTCCTGTGTCCTTGTCCTCTGGAGTGCCTTACCTTGCCCAAATCTAGCCGTCCGGGCCACTTCCTGTGCGCCACGGAAGCCCAGCATGCGGCACACCACGTCCCCGTCCTTCTTGTCCCAGCCATCATCACACACGGTGCCCCAGCGCCGCTCATGGTACACCTCCACGCGGCCCTCATGCGGGCCCGAGCCGTTCACCAGCCGGACCATCAACGCCTCCAAGCCACCTGTTGAGAGCAGTCTGCAGTCACCATTCTGTTTTAGAGACCCCTTCCCCCCAGGGACTTTCCCTGACTCCCCTCTACTAACCTCCTCCCTCGTAGTGAAGGGGGGGCTGGGGCTACAGGCAAGACCAAAACCACAGCCAGCAGAAAGCATGGTGTGTCACCATTGTCCTTTATCAGCCTTCTTCCCTCCATGTGTTTTTCTTTTAATAGATTTTATTTTTTTAGAGCAGTTTTAGGGTCACAGAAAAGTTGAGAGAATGGTACGAGTTTTCCCATAGACCTCTGTCCCCACACACGCACAACCTCCCCCACTATCAACATCCCAACCAGAGTGGTACATTTGTTACAACTGATGAACCCACGTTGACATGTCATTATCACCCAGAGTCCATAGTTTACATTAGGGTCACTGTTGGAGTTGTACATTCTGTGGGTTTGCATAAGTGTATAATTTGTCCACCATTATAGTTTCATCGCCCTAAAAATCCCCTATGCGCTGCCTGTGAAAATACAGATTCCTGGGCCCACTCAGACCTACTGGGTCAGAATCTTGGTGGCAATAGTCAGGGATCTGTATTTTTTATAAGTGTCCCAAATGATTTTGAGGTAATATATGTGGGTGGCACTGGGAGTGACATGTTTAGATGATCTAGACAGTTCCTTCTAGCTCCTGTGATTTCAAGGCCAGGGAAGAAGTCAAAGTTGTCTTTTTTTGCAGCCAGAAATCACCTGGGATGTGTAGGGTGGAGGCGGTGATGCTGTACTGTGACACAGTGACAAGTGGGTGACGCGATGCAGGAAAACCCCTATGTGAACTGGCAAAGAAAACAGCAAACCCGATGAAGTTCTACTCCCCATAAGCACTGCAGCTTTGGACTACTTCTCTTTCTTTTTTAGCCACGTGGGCTGAGAGATTCCCCCCTCTAATGACTGTGACTTGGCAAAGACCTTTAGGCCCTTAGAGGAGGTGGCAGAGTTGCTAAACCTCCATCTGTGCCACGTGAGAAAGTAGAGGAGTGTGACTGTTACTTATGGCCATGTGACTGTTACTTGCTGCTGGGAAATCCCAGAATATCCTGCACAGGCCAAAGAAGTCACCAGAAAACCATACATTCCCAAGATGCCGAAAGATTATAGGGTGATGGTTTTGAAAGGCTCCTCGAAATGTTTAATGCCATGTTTTATGCATCCTACATCTTTCTCCCCATACACATTTGCTAAAAACATAAGCTCCCACCAGGTTGTCAAAAAAAGGCTAAAGATGAGCAAGAGAACGCAGACATCCTGGAGAAGGAAAGCCTAGAGAGACGCTGGAATGCAGAGGCCTGGTCTGAAAGAGAAACCCCCCTGGAGCGGTGATGACATCTAACCGGGAGCCAGCAGCAGCAAATGAGGCCTGGGCTCCTGGCTGGGGGCTTGGCCCTGGGAGGTTGGCAGAGGCCGAGATATTAGCCTTGATTTCTCACAGACCTGCCTCGCCTCTGTCAGCACCCTGTCACAGTGGCAGTGGGACATGTCAGGCCAGGAAGCCTCCAACAGAAGTCTCAGTGTGGGGCCATAAGTAGAGGGAAAGTGGCAGGAGGACGCTGTGGGTCCGAGCAGCCCAGGCAGAGTTCAGGGTGTTGAGTCAAAACAATATGAAGAGGCCGGTCGGAGGTGGGCTGCTTGGGACTGATGTTCAGAGATTCCCTCTTATCCTCTCTGCTCTGGCCTCTGAACTCTGGTCACATCTTTGTTTAGCCAAGTAAGTGACTGACCATCTCGTAGGGGCCAGATGCTGTTCTAGCTGTGGGCACACCCATGAACAATAAATACTTTAGTGGGAAAGACTAGCAATAAAACGAGAAAGCAAATACAAATACAACTATGGCCAAGTATTGAGGCATGCATAGATGGGAACAGAGGCACAGAAAGGAAATGCGGAGTGAGGGAGGCGCCATCTTGGATGGGGAGACGTGAGCAGAACTCTTCCTGTACCCTTCTCCCCACCCCCCATTTCAGGGATACCCAGATGTCTACAGGACTAGGCCTCTGGGTTGGTTTTTCCCCCCCCTTTTTGCCCCAGATTTGGGGACAGAGATCCTCCCCTTTTACACAGAAAAGCAGACAGAGAAGAATTCTCTCAAATCAAAGCCACAGATGACACCATTACTTAGTGCTTGGCCCTACTTTTAGGTTATAGTCACACAGTCTTTGGGCTTTTCTAATCATCACATTATGATGATGAGCAGGACCACCCAGGTCCTCTTAGGAATGTGAGCTGAGGGAAATGGAGCGAGCTGAGCAGAAGCAGAAGCAGAAGCAACAAGAGGCAGGGACAGACCGCGTAATTAATAGGCCATGTCAGAGATGAGGCACAAGAGAGGAAAGACGTGAACCCCTAGTGTTGTGGCCCCAGAACTGCCTCGGATCTGAATGACTTTCCCACTCCAGCCTCAGAAATGCCCATTTGTTTTATGAAGCCTGATCTTCTAAACTGTCCCCAGGTGTCCTTACTATAAGCCCACTCACTGAAGTGACCCAATGAGTCTCTGGTCCTTGCCAGCAAAAATACCCAAACAGAGCACCTGGGAATCCCACACACCCATCTAAGGGCGGCTTAGCTACTTGCCTCTTGGTCCCTGAGTGGAGTTGGGAATTTGGATGGGGGAAAACAGGGTGGTGGTGATCCCTGTGGGGAGGCACCAGGGGAGAGGAAAGAGGCTGGATGTGAACTCAGGCACAAGGCTCAAATTCTGACTTCATTATTGGCCAGATGTGACCTCTCTACACCTACCTTCTCCTTTCTTTTTTTTTTTTTTAAGTTAGTTTCAGGTGTACAAAACAATATAATGATTAGACATTTACACCACTCACAAAGTGATAACTTCCCCCAAGTCTACTGCTCCTCTGATATCATACACAGCTATTCCAATACCATTGACTATATTCCCTGTGCTGTACTTTACATCCTATGACTATATACAGAGGGTGCCAGAAAAATGTATACACATTTTAAAAAAGGAAAAAAACTGTATTAAAACTGTAAGAGTCAATATATACTAATAACAAAAGATGAATACAAGTCATGTGTATACATTTTTTTGGCACCCCCAATATACGAGTATATACATATATATAATATTAAATATATATATTTAATTATACTTGACATTCAATATTATTTTATATTAGTTATACAATATTATTATATATTAGTTATGCAGGTATACAGCACAGTGGTTAGGCATTTATATAATCTTTAAAGTGATCACCCCATAAGTCCAGTACCCATCTGACATCCTATATTGATTGTCTTTACAACACTATTGATTATATTCCCCATACTGTATTTCACATCCCTGTGACTATTTTGTGACTACCAATTTGTACTTTCTAATCCCTTCACCTTCTCCGCCATCCTTTAACCCCACTTCCCTCTAGCAACCATCAGTTTTTTCTCTGTGTCTATGAGCCTATTGCTTTTTTGTTTGCATTTATTCTGTTCTTTAGATTCCATATACAAGTGAGATCATACGGTATTTGTCTTTCTCAGTCTGACTTATTTCACTTAGCATAATATTCTCTACGTCCATCCACGTTGTCGCAAATGGTTAGATTTCTTTCTTTTTTATGGCAGAGTAATGCTCCATTGTATAAATGTAGCACAGTTTCTTTATCCAATTGTCTATGATGGGCATTTCGGTTGTTTCCATACCTTGGCTATTATGAATAGTGCTGCAGCAAACAGGGGTGCATATGTTTTTTTTGAATTAGTGTTTTGGATTTCTTTGACTAAATATCCAGGAGTGAAATTGCTAAGTCATAAGGTTGTTCTATTTTTAATTTTTTTAGGAACTTCCATACTGTTTTCCATAATGGCTGCACCAATCTGCAATCCCACCAACAGTGCAGGAGAGTTCCCTTTTCCCAACATCCTCTCCCACACTTGTTGTTTGTTGATTTATTGATAATAGCCATTCTGACAAGTGTGAGGTGATATCTCATTGTGGTTTTTATTTGCATTTCTCTGATGATTAGTGACATTGAACATCTTTTTCGTATGTCTATTGGCCACGTGTATGTCCTCTTTGGAGAAATGTCTACTCATGTCCTCTGCCCATTTTTTAATTGGATTGTTTGGGGTTTTTTGTGTCAAGCCTACCTTCTTCTTAAAATGGGTATAATGATGGTGGTTGGGAGCAATAGCACTTGTCAAGGATTTGGCACATCATGGGCATTTCTCACTGTGAGCTCCCACTCCTGGCCAGTCAGCACTTTGCCCAACAGTGTGTAGGTCATCTCTCAGGGGTCTCCATGCATTGCTGAGGATGGCTTGGATACAGTGGCCCTAGCAGGGATGTATCCTTGAAAGCCTCTTTGCAAAGCAAACCTGCATCATGGGGTTTGGATTAATCTCCTCCTAAAGTCCTCGGCTCTCTCCGAGGCACAGTTCCTGGCTCCTCAGCTTATTAGAGGAGGGGGACAAGGGCGTCAGCAGAAGACCAGTTCCTGTTGTCAGCAACTTTCTGCTCTCTAATGTGAGCTGGATGTAATTCCTTAATTGTGGCAGCTCTGGAATGGCCCAGGAATGTGGCGCTAGGGCTGAGGCTACTGGGGGCTCCTAATACAGACCTTACAAAGCTCGTATGTGGGAATTGTCTTCACCAAATGAATGTTTCTTTGCTCTCTTTGCCTTGCAAATATATAGGTAGGAAAGCAAGGTCTCAGACAAAGCAGGCCTGGTCTACCCCAGACTCCCCTGGCTTTGACTATCTGGTCCCCAGAGCAGAAAGGAGCTGGTGGCCCCCTCTCCTGCTTCAAACACAGGAATCCTCTCCCCTCTGTACCAGGCCTGACAGCTGCCCCTGCTGCCTTTGGGAATGGAAGGGAACTTGACAATATCTCTTGGGAATCCGTTTCAGGATTTTCAAACCAGCATCTGGTTTCATTCACAGGGCACTAGCATCTCCAAATGGCTCCAGTGTTTTTTCATCCAATGATTCGCTACCTTGTCTTAC